TTCGGTGACTCGCGATGCTCTTCGAGCTCTGGAGGACAAAGTCTGTACTCTGTCGAGCATCTTGCCAAGGTCGCATGGCGCTGTGCGGGAGGTCTAGATATCCTGGAGTACTTGCTGCACCGACTGCCTCACATTGAGGATTATCGTGCTCTGTCGGAGAAGTGGCTTCAAGCCTTCAAGCAGGCAAATATTTCACTTCGTGCGACGGTTGAGCGCCTTGCGTCATTGGAAACGGGAATTGCTGCACTCTGTGATCAAAACCAGTATTGAGATATTGGCGGCTTTGCCGCAAATAAAACCGACAAATACCGTTTACATTCTAAACGGATGAGTCAATTAGAATTTGGTTAACGTTGTAATTACTCTTGGAGTCAGTGGATTGCGATCCGCTACATTCGTACTGGTTCTAAGTATAGAGCGAAGGCTACCGACTTTAACCAAGCTTCCTCCAAGCGAAAGAGCTACTGCAGCCTCGCTGCACGGATGGTACCTGCAAGCTGACCAGCGGCGATGCCACATTCGGAGAGGGGCTCACCCTTTAACACGTCGCACACGTGGGCACATCGGTGCTCGTCCAGTTGTACAATTTGGGCAACCAGTAGTGGCAACTCACAGAGCTGTAGACCAGTAGTGGCAACTCACAGAGCTGTAGGCTTCTCACAGCCGAGATAACGATTATCATGGAGTAGGGTATCGTCGGCTTCATATAGGATACGGTACTTCAATCTTCTTCGTGACGAACCACAACTTCTTGTCCCAGTTTCCAGACCCCTTTTCCCGAGAGCCTGTAGCAGCTGTACACATATTTCCTCACTCGCGAATGCCACGTGGATCATATCGGTCACTGACAACGTAACCGTCGTGACATTAGCAAGCTCATAATCCGCTCAGCGAAAACATTCTGCTTCTCTGGCGTATACTTCACCTCGAGGTTATATTTTGCGAAGATGGAGAGCCACCTGATCATCCTCTACGAGAGGTGAGGCGACTGGGTCGCAGTGCGTAGCGATGTATGATCTGTGTAGATCACAAACGGCTTAGAGCCAAGCAGGGAGCACCCTGGACTTGACAAGTGCATACTTCATCGCATGTTATTCCTTGTCGTGGACTGGATAGTTCCTCTCCGCAGCCTCAAGCCGGCGAGATTTTAATGCGATCACCCGATCTCGCCCCTCGGCGTCTGCTTGCACCAGTGTATAGCAGATGGCAAAATCCGAAGCGTCACGGACGACACTAAAAGGACGATCGGGGTCTGGCGACGCCTGTATTGGTGCATGAAGGAGGCTGTCTTTGATCCCGTTAAAAGCCTCTCGGTGCTCGGTGTCCCGACGGCATTCCTTATCCTTCTTAAGGAGATTTGACAATGACCGTACATTTCTCACTGTATTTGTGCAGGTACTTGGCGAGGCCAAGCCACTTGCGCAAGTCCTTTTGGTTTTTGGAATTGGCCAGTCCACAATGGCCTTGACATTAGCGGGATCTGCTCGAAGGCCACCTTTTCCAATGAAGCACCCTAGAAAAGAATTTCTTCCGCGCCGAAGATGCACCTTTCTGCATTAACATAAAGCTTTTTCGTGCGCATGCACTCGATCACCGCTCTCAACTGGACGATTTGGTTTTCCTCATCTATCCTCACGTGCCCTGCACGACTGTGGACGAAGATGTCGTCGAAGTATGTCTGTGCATATGCCTGGTGGGGCCTGAACAGTTGTGTCACAAAACAATTAAATGTTGCTGGTACATTTGACAGCCCTTGGGGCATCACCAGCCACTCCCAGAGCATCCCGCTCGAATTACTCACCGCTGTCAGCAGAATATCACTCGCTCTTATGAGCGATTGGTAATAACATTGATCAAGTGGAGTACACTGTACTTTGTACGGTTAACCATATTGTTCTGAAGAACACTTTTTCTAGAAGTCGGCGTCTGTGCCGTAATGGTGGTAGCGTTCAGCTTATTGTTAGCGTGAACGATATGCCACTTGCCTTTCGGCTTCCAGACACAAAATGTGGGTGTCGAATGGGGAGACTTGCTCTCACGCACCATTACTGTCGTGCTTCGCACGGAAGAAGGCGTCAATGACGGCACCCCGCCTCTTTGGCAGGGTCCATTGGCGCGCTACGCAGTATTCGGTTTCCGGAGCCAGGTCGCCTCGTGACGCACACCTCGGTACGGAGGTAGGACCGACAGCAGGTCTTTGGAGACGACGCCATTAAATTCATTTACCAAAGGTTAGTTCCCATTCAAGGGATTGGTTAGGACTGAAGATCCACTTCGTTCGTTCAGCACCCTCTTGGTGTTCTCCAGGACAGCTTCATCCAGAAGCGATGATGAGTTGATCTTCTCGTCCGATCTTACATTTTGTCCAGCTCAAGAAGGGCATCCATTTGAGGAATAGCCTCAAGGGCGACGTCGCCTTCTTCCTCCTCCGTTGTACCGTTGACGATGGTGTATAGCTGTGTGCTAACGACTTCGGTAGACACACCCTGGGTCAGGGTCGACGCCCTGGGTCTTGCAGAGCGTCACCGTTGCCGATTCTCTGTCTCGGCGAGCCCAGTGGGAAAATGCACTCAGCGTCGTCCAGTGTCCCCACTCCCAACTTTATCAAAACCTTGATCTCATTAACAAATCCGGCGAATAGGTCCTTGTTCCGCAGTCTTCATCCAGTGGATGACGTGTCATTCCACGCGCATCTGAAAAGCCTTGCCCACGATGTCTCAGACCTCGTCCAACCACGCCATTCTTGGCATGCAGCAACTGTTTCGAAACGTGAGTAGTGCTCAGTGTGCTACGTGCCACTCCACGCGCATCACTGGGGCCTCGCCCACGACGCCTCGGTCCTTGGCCGACCATGTCACTCTTGGCATGCAGCGACCGCCCTAATACTTGAGCAGCGCTCAGTGAATTACGTGCCACTCCACGTTCAACCTACGAGCCACGCTCGGGACTCCTGTCCAAAACACCTTCAATGTTCGACAACTCGAATACTCCGATCTCTAGCATGTTGACCGTCCCGGTCCAGTGCCCGCACCAAAAGCATTTCTGCTTCCTAGCAGAGGTGGGTTCATGACTCACCGAAGTTCCACCAGGAGACTTGCGCGTAGCGCCACCTCCAATCGATCCATGGCTCATGGCGTTTCAACCATGCAATACCAAGGATAAGGTCATACACTGCATCCAAGTTTAAGACTAGGCAGCGTTGCACGCAATCGAAGTCAATAAACATGACGATGTCACTCTTCCTTCGATCGTGGAGCGTGGAGCATAATTTCCCGAAGCTGCGGAGTCGATAACGATCTTCTATGGCATCTCAAAGCTCTTCACGGTCGCTTTTACGACCAGCAAACCCGGTTGCATACACATTCCGTGTTCTGGAGCACAGAGCATTTTGCGCTGCCCTCTACCATTTTGAGGCTCAACAGAACTCAGTTCTTCCCCACTAGGGTGTCCCGCGCCTACTGGGTTTTCTCGTTTTCGCCCGACAAACCAGACTGGTTAGACGCAAGACGTCGGTTCGTCGAACCTTAACGCGCTTTGCGTATGGGACGACAAGTCCGACGGCGACCGGTGCCTCCAAAGACAAAACACCGTCGGGTGTTCAAACGCTACCCGGCAGCTCAGAGCTCTCCCTCCTCTTTCTCAGCATAGCTGAGATCTATTGGCTCAGGCCCGCTCGACGAGCTATGAGGGTGTGCATACCAACCATGTCGTGTCGACTGAAAGTTGAATTCGGCATTCAATGCCACATTCATCGGTCTCTGAAAAGAGGACGGATGTAAACAGGAGACATTCATTCTGGCCACGCCAGCGCGAAGAACATCCATAGAGACGGTCACTTCGACCGCCTCGGGGAGAGGATCGGCTGCCATCCCGGCAATGAGAGTTTCCAACTCTTGGACAAGGTCCACCTACTCCTTCCTGCCCTGTCGGGTAGCAAGGAAACGCGATGGCACGCGATTTGCCTGGTTCGGCGACAAGAGCACCCGCAAAAGCTGACGCTTCTGCTTCTTACAGGAGGAGAGCGCAGCTACGACCAAAGAACCGCACGTTAGTGTCCATTATCGCTCGGCCGCCTAGCTCGGAGATAGCTAGCGCCACGCCCGTTGCTCGTTTTGGAGCATAGCGGATGCCATTGCCATCTCGCCTTCTCTTATCCAGAGCAGGAGATTCTCTCCCCCTTACCCTCGAAGATCTTAACGCTCACCATGAGCGACCTGGGTCGACAGGAGCCATCCGTCGTCGACGGTGGCGTCATGGACGCTGACAGCTTCTGCTATAAGTACTCTAACAGAGCATTTTCATAATTTGAAACCGCATCGAGGCGCGCACTTATCGCTTCGGGCCCTTGCGCAACAAGGTGCTCCGCACCCCCGAACCCAGCTGGGACATCAGCTTATTAATCCTGTCCTGTATGCCCTGGGCAAATAGGAGTATTCATCTATCTTCACAGAGGATCAGTCGTAACAACTCAGATGGAGATTAAATACGAGTGCCACCAAGTGCAGCGGGGCTGCCGCAGCTCTTTGCTTAGAGGAAGCTTAGCTAAGGTCACCGACCTAACCTTCTTCCCAAGAACCAGTACATGTGTATCGGATCGCAATCCACTACTTCTAAGTACTAAAACCTTCCCACGGCAAATTAACTTTGTGTTCAAAAACGAAACTGTATTCAGTAGTTTTAGTTGCAGCAGAGCCGCCAATAGCTAACACCCTAGGTTTCCCTAATTGATGTAGTAATACCTAATTAATATAGAAAAACCTAATTAGTAGAGCAACACCTAATTAATATAGCGAATCCTAATGTATATAACGGATTTTTACGAATAGAAGAGCTTCTACTATTACAAGCCCCCATCGAATTTTCGACAATGTAATAAATGACCGCTTCGATTAAAAGACCGCTTCAAATA